CCTCAACAGCTTATACAAGCTGGCTCTGTCAAGGGTACCAGTGTTTCTAATTAATGCTGGGTCCAACGTACTGCACAGGCCTTACCTGCACCAGCTCCCTCAGGTTTCGACTTCTGGCTGACCCGCCCAGAGCCCTTGTGCCTATGACTAATAAATGCTCCCTCCATTTCTCACTGGGGCCGAGAGGGCAAAAATAAAAGCCGGTTCCAGCTAACCAGCCTGAACGCAGAGCATTCATTACAGGCACTGAAGCGAGAGCTCAGGGCCCCCATGCTGTCCAGGGGAGCAGCCTCGTGGACAAGCGCCTCTCTGTGGTTGAGTCTCTCTTCTTGACTGTGTTTAATGTCAGGCAAAATGGCCTATGGCCTTTGGATGACAGAAAGAAAAAAAAAAGTCTCATTCCTCATTCTCAAAGCATGGGGCAGTCACCTTCCCATCCAACATGTATCAGAGCCAAGGTCTGTGTGAACCAAGAGGGTCTGGTCCTATCCAATGGACCAGAGAAAATAGGGTAGGCCTGAAAATCAGTTCTGCAGGCCTGCACAGGCATTTGTGCCTGCAGAACCTACTTAACCGGTAGTTGAGGAAACCAAGACCATGTGAAGGCGGACCCTCAGCGCCCCAGTGCCCTGACTGGTTAAGGGCTTGCCTCGCTGATTACTTAAAATAACAAGGAATTAAAGCTGAAAGGAAACTCAAGAGATCGCTTTGCTTAACCTCGTTTCACTAGTCAAGAAATCGCACTCTTGAAAGGTTAGGTGGTAAATCAACAAAATTGAAGGGCAGTCAGCGGAAAAGTTGAGACCTCAAAAAACTTGACCCCTACTGACCCCAGCAAAGGGGCCTCTCTCATATCCCGCACCCACCGAGGCACCTGAGGGCTAAGCGCTTCTCGGGCATTCCACGAGAACTACGCACCTGGGATTACAGTGCCTTGAATCTGTGGCATACCTCCGCACTTCCGGAAGGAAGGGCCTGCCTGATGAGAGCCTGCCGTATCCGCTCCTCTCCCTCCTTGCCTCACGCTTCTGGCAAAAGAGGCTGACCCATACTTGCCCCCAGCAGAAGGTCATCCCTGCTTGGTGCGCCAGTCACAGATTGCAGTCGAGGCCTCTGGCTTCTGGAACACTGGAAGCCCTGCAAACACCTCGTTGTGTCTCACGGATTCTTGTGCAGACCTGGATAATCTACCGTATTCTCCCCACATCAACAGATACCGAACATTTACGTATTAAAGTCGGAACCTAGCTCTTTACAGCTCTGAATTCCCGAGGGAAACAGGAAGTTGTATTTTGGTAAGGAGCTTGTTGTAGTTTCTTAAAATTTCCCGCGTCACTTAGCAGAATGTGGGGGTGACAGGTGACACTGGCACTTCTCACGGGGATAGGCTGTCACCCAGGATAACACCCTCCCCCCCCCATCTCCCTGCTGATCAGCTCAGCACACAGGGTGTTAACCGCTCCTCAGCTGTGGGAGTCTTCCAGATTGACAAAGGACACGCGTCCTCAGTCGTACACGCTTTTTTAAGGGTGGGAGAGAATGTGAAGTTCTGCGGTGGTCCTGAGGGTCAGGATGTTCCTGTGAGAAGCCTTAGAGTTCACGTCCACAATGTACAACCCGAGGGAAACACGTGATCTGAAAATGGGTGATAAACACATGTGTTGGCTTTCTGTTGTTGTGACAAACGCCTGAGACAACCAGCTGAGGGGCGAGGATTTGCTTTGGCTTGCAGCTTTAGTGCGCATCACTCGGCCTTGTTGCTTTGGGCCTGCGCACATCTCGGTGGGAGCACCTGGCAGAGAAGGCTGACCAATTCCCAGAGCTGAGAAGCGGACACAGAGAGAAAAAGAGGCAAAAGTTCCAATACTCTCCTTGAGGACGATCCCTCTCCTCCAACGACTCGACTTCCAATCTGGAGGCCCAACCTCCTAAAAGTTCCGCTACCTCCCAACAGACCACTGGCTGGGAACCAAGCCTGGGCTATACGAGTCTTTAGGGACATTTAAGATCCAAATACAACATCCAGTCATCATTGACAGCCCAGGGTTGTTGTAGGGATGAGACAAAGCGAGACTGTGAGGGGCACCATACAGACTATAGAGTGGGGGGTGGATTAAACCTTCCCAATTAAGGGAAGCAAATGCCCCACACACTTGAGGAGCCTCCCAACTGCCCCCGTCCCCACCCCTACTGAGGACCTGAAGTCCAGTGGGCCAGTCACAGTGACAGCCCTGAGTGCTTGACTTTAGGAGGTGTGGGTGCTTTGGTGAAACGCAATCCCCCTGACTCAAGTATAAATTTTAGTTAATTAGGCCATAAAGAGTAAGGACTCTCTGGCATCAGCTGTGTCCAGACCCTTAAAATAAATATTTTTAAAAGTTTACTTATGAAGAAAACCAATTTAAAAAAAAACAAAAAACTTCCACATTTACTTATGTATTGTTTTGTGTGTATGTATGCATGGGTACCTGTGCCATCGGCTCTCTCCTTCCGACATGTGCGTTTGCAAATCCAGCTCAGGCTTCACAGCAACTCCCCTTACCTGCTGAGCTGCTGGCTAGCCCCAATTTATTAAAATGTAATTAGTTTATGAAAAGTAGAAGAAAATATCCACCCCACGTACTTTTAATGTTTTTAATTAAAATATAACCACATCACTCTCCTACTTCCCTTTATACCCTCTAGCCCCTTCCAGGTTCTCTTCCTTCAACTCCTTCCATGTCCTCCACCTCATTCTCAAACTGATAGCCTCTTTTTCTTTGATAATTATGTATATGTATGTATATAT